ATGCGTCACAACTGACCATCGCCTACTCCCATAAACGTTCACGAGTGTAAGGGAGAACGACGAACCGTACCATTCGTCGTTTTCGCGTACATCGCAAGGCTCACCTGCGGGTGCGCAGTGTAAGGGAGAACGACGAATGTCGAATAACTTTGCTACTTTTAAACCTAAACCATTCAAACTTTAGAAACTGCATTATGAGCATCCCATTCAGATATCTGGTGAATTACAGCTTAAAAAAGTGAAAAGTAGAAGGGTTATAAAGCGAAAACTGTTTTTGCCTCTCCTGAAAAATTTGCCTCGCTACCTGCGCAGGACCATTCGTCGTTTTCCCTTACGACGGCAGATATGTATTGTATGAGTGTTGTATAAGGTAGGAAAAGCCTTTTGTCACTTCCTTTTTACCCTCCAAACACTCACACTACATGTGTATTCCCAGTTTATAATTACTCGAATGTCAAACATGAACAAAAAAAAACAACAACCAACAACCCGTTAAGTTTCTTAAGTTTAAGTACACCTTAAGATAGAAAACCAAAGGGTGAAGGAACCTGTTAATTTGACCTGAAAAAGGGAGCCCTGGATAGTGTTCAACTGTCACACCTCTGGCTGTGCATGAAAGTTTCCCTACTGGTGTTCACATAAGGGATAAATGGGTAACAGCTACCTTTAAAAAAACCCCCCAGTTATAACCTAGTTATTTCCTATTCTGAAAGTTAAACCTGCTGAACGAAAGTTTTTATACATCCTATTAGGAGCTGTCTGTGACTCCTGGTTATTTCCTATTCTCAAAGATAAGTTTGCTTGCTGAATGGTGGGTGGTTGGAGGACGCTGCTGGTAGGTCCTAGTTCTTTACTTTCCCACTGTTGTTTCTGTCTGTCTTACTTTTTCCCACTACTAAATGACCGTAATTGCATGGATGTGCTTCTCTTTACTCAAACAAACAAAGCTTGCGGAACAAAAGTTTTAATGCTTTCATAACCTAGCAAGAGATGTAAAGCGTACAAGAAGCTGACCACCAAATATGTCTTCCAGAGCTGGCTGTGGAGATTGGAATCTTGTATGCACAGAGTGGGGGAGAATATTTTGAGGGACTGAAAACTTCAGGTCAATAAAATAGCTTTACAAGTATTTGAAATACTTCACAACTTGTATTATTTTTTTATCCACCTATATACAGTCACACAGTATCTGCTGGCAACTTATCCCACAAAAAATTACTTTAAGAAACCTCTCAGAAAAACATTCCTGTCCTTATCAAAGACTGGATAATAACTATAATGGCTATGTAACAGTAACATGAGGTTCAATTTATTCTTAATAAGTTCGTTATTCGTTTTGTCTTCATGAACTAACACTGCAAGAAAGGTCAGATTAGGTCTATGACTGAGATTACGCATTAAAAATTCACATAAAATCTCTGTCGAAATGCTAAACCAAGCTTTTAATACCAAAGCTGGTGAAAGAGATGAAAGTTGTCTCCCCCCGCCCACGCCACATTAGAGTACAGGTAGAATCCATTATGTAAAATTTGTTGTTGTGATAAAATGTGCTGCCGCTTGTGAAATTAGTTATTATCCAGTCTTTGATAGGGACTGGGAATGTTTTTCTGAGATGTTTCTTTCTTAAAGTAATTTTTTGTGGGATAGGTTGCCAGCAGATACTGTGTGACTGTATTAAGGTGCTTTTTGCTGAACTTTTGGAATTACTCCTTACGAAATCAAACAGTTAAACTGATGTTTGTAATGTCAGTGGGCACAGCTGGTTGCCAAATCATTTGCTAGGGTCAAATAGAGGTTTGAAATCTGTACTTACGTAATAAAGCAATTTAAGGTGACTGAACCAGTTATAGCCTTCAGTCAAGGCATAAAAGACGAAAAGGGTATGTCAAGAATTCACTTTAAAAAAAACCAACAGATGCAGCAGTGTCTTCAAACAAAGGTGTACAAGTCAGCTTTTGACACCTCATAACTTCTTCTAGATCACATTACATGTGAAATCTGGAATCTTATCATTCTGGGCTGTCCTGCTCGGTTCTTCTATTGGCCCATGCAGCTTCTCCCATAGTTTTAATGAGTCCACTCATGACTCACACCAAAACAAGAGATAGGTGTTGAGTTTGAGATTTTTTATTCATACTGTACTGTTACATATTATTTGTGTTATTGATTACTCTAATATGCCAGATTGACAAGGTTGGGTGCCTTCTGCTGGACTGCCTGTCCAGCCTATATCAACCTAAGCTTTGCCTTTTCTTCCTTTCCACAGATCTGTGCAAGTCATTTGTGTTTTACACCCCATGACTTACTACTGGTCTCCGTGGATTAGATGAAACAGCTGTGTGCGGCAGATGTTTAACATTTCATTGAGCTGTGTACAGTACAGACAGCAAAGAGGGATAACAATAAGTGTTTCATTCCAGTACTTGAACAGCATTGTCACAATTTACAGGTTGGTAGAGTAAAAGTAAAATTAGTTTTTGTGTGTGTTCAAAGATCAAGTCAATTTGAGTGAGTGGAGAAAAATGTCCCTGTGCCTGTCAACTTTCAAATTTCCTGGTCAAGAGACTACAATAGAAATGAATGAGTGTGGAAATAAGTGGGAGAAATAAGCTAGGAAATCAGAGGGCTGACCATCAATGCGAATTTAGCAGAATCGTTACATTTTCATTCAATTTTACTAAATGAAAATATGGCCGTAATGCCTGTGATGTCAATTTAAAAAAAAATTTCGGCTACCCCAACCCATTGCCAACCTTCCTGGTGTATAAAGGGAGGAAAACTACCAAACCGGGACAGTCTATGTCACCACAACACGTGCAGCTGTCTAGCTTTAACACCCTCTTTGCATTGAGCCCTCATAGTTGCTCAGTGCCATTTTGCCCTTAGAAAAACATGAAAGACTTTAGAAGTTCCAAAGCTTAGAGTAGGGCAAACATCAGGTTGACAATGTGTTAAAAAGTTCCTTCTCTTTTGTTTTGTGGGTGGCAGACTTAACGGAAGAGATAAATTTAAAAAAATGGATGATTGTTTGAAACTTGATGCAATTATCTAAGTTGGGTGTGTATAGAGTGTTGTGATGCACAGTCAGGATCAAAGGCTTGTGACTTATTCTGTAGTTTCAAAGATTTCGTATGTTTATGGAAGCAGTAACTCATCCCCATTCCCCTGCTCTTTTTTTTTCTTAACCGGACCATGGTCAGCCTGCCAAAACCTCTTTTTGTTTATCACGCTACGTCTTTGTTTGTGTCACATTTATAATTGCTGGTACTGACAGGGCTATATCCACCCAACAGCATTTATAAATGTTTTAGAAATCAACAAGTTAGTTTGTAATTTAGCCATGGATCGCCTTCTTCCCTCAGTTGTAATAAAGCAATTATAAATGTGACACAAACAAAGACGTAGCGTGATAAACAAAAAGAGGTTTTGGCAGGCTGACCATGGTCCGGTTAAGAAAAAAAAAGAGCAGGGGAATGGGGATGAGTTACTGCTTCCATAAACATACGAAATCTTTGATACTACAGAATAAGTCACAAGCCTTTGATCCTGACTGTGCATCCCAACACTCTATACACACCCAACTTAGATAATTGCATCAAGTTTCAAACAATCATCCATTTAAAAAAATTTCTCTCTTCCGTTAAGTCTGCCACCCACAAAACAAAAGAGAAGGAACTTTTTAACACATTGTCAACCTGATGTTTGCCCTACTCTAAGCTTTGGAACTTCTAAAGTCTACCACTTTGCCCTTATAAAAGCCTTAGTTAGAGCTGTGCCAAAGCCAGGAGTGAGGCTAACATTAGTGCGACAAGGTTTAAAAAATATTCTTGGGCTTTTGTGTTGTAGGTGACAGCCTTGGCAAATGAAAAAAAAAAAAAGCAGACCAAGTTTGAAACTTGAAACAATTAGCTGTGGTGCACTGCCTGGTGTTTAGTCATGCATCATCTAATCAGAGACTTATGACACATCATGGCAATTTGATAGGGAAGGGTCGAGCCGATAGCCAATGACTACCCCCACCTGCTTTAAAAAAAATTCCAAACTCAACAATGATGAGCCCGTGGAGACCAGTGTAGCACTTTGTTTACGTTACAGACACCCCACAACTCCTGCCCTTGACACCCCAGGAAAAGAGACTATCCATGGCCATGTTTCGATTTTGATCTTGCGTTTCTCTTCATTTCTTCTTCTTTGCTGTAATCTTTTGAGAAGAAAACATACTTTGTAATTTGTTACGAAATCTAGAAGGCACGGAAAAATCACGTTTTTTTCCCCCTCTATAAGTTCAAATTTAAGGAGAAAATTAATTGCTCCGAGGATTAATTTTTTTAGAGCTGAATGAAAATCTCGTTTTCCATTATTTAAAAAAAATTAAAAGCCAAATGTCCCGTTTCAGTACTTATACCAAAAAATATGATTTATCACTTGCAGATTATTGTTGTGAAGTTTTTACTGTATGACATTTTTTTGGCTTTCTCAGGTCGGTCATCAGAGTATGAGCTAGTTGATGGTGGAGATTTTCAACTCTTTCTACCGTCCTGGACATTGATCTTGGAGGGAGGATTGTTTAAAACATTGCTTCAACAAAGCCATTATGTGATAAACTGAACAGCCAGACGAAGACAACGAAAGTGCTTTAGTGTTTATATTCTTGGAGGAACAAGAGCAAGAAAGAAAATGTTTTAGAGTTACTTTGATTCACGTACGAGGGCTGTAGCCTGAGACCCTCAGAGCTGGTCTGAAATATATTTCGAATTTTTTTTTCCCGGGGGGTGGGTTGGTATTTCTAGGAGGATCCATAGTCCCCATCTCTTGCTCATTCATTACTGTGTGTTGGCGATATTCGTGAGACGAGGATGCAGGTTTCTCTCGAGTCAAAGGCTTTTTGTGCTTCTTACTTGGAGAAAGTGTTGATACTTGCTTGCGAGGACATGTAGCTAGCTGTTGTAATGGAGTGAATTCATCAAGAGCTCTATATGCCTTTACATATTTCATAGTATTAACCATCTTGTAAATAAGTTTGTACATTTTTAGCACACAGTGACTTTAAGCTTGTTGTTTGTTGAATGTTCCTTTCCCAAGTGCCTTTGATCTCTTTTGAATAGTTTTTGCTTATTGTTCCATTTGGTGTTCAGTGTTCATCGTATTATATTTGCAAAGTACAAGTTACAGCCCACTCGGATCATCCACATCAAGTCAACTGCTGAGTTATCCTGTTTCAGTTGTGTATCTTCCAGGTGAGTTTTAAAAATTACGTTGTAATTTTTATTGGTGGAGGGGCAGAAGGGGGGAGGGGGAAGTGTTTGTTTTAAAAATTACACAGAAAACCCCTGCTGGAGTTAAAAGAAAAGGGTTCTGCTAAATGAAAGATGTGATTGCTATCTCAGTCTCATGTGGTGCAGTTGTTTCAATCAATAAAATATGAGATCTTTTATCATTTACATCTCTAACCCTGTGATCCAGTGTCATGTTCAGGATGGAAATCTGTACGAGCTGGTCCCTATTGCAGCCGAGGTGCAGATTTTCCATATGTGGAGATCTGGAAATATGGATTTCTGAAAATGTGGGCAGTACACCATGCAGCATGCTTATGCATCTGTTTATATTTTTATCTCGTTGTTCTTGTCATATATTGCACTTGACTTGATATAAAACTGTAGTATTGGTACAAGATGTTTGAGACAATAAATATAATCCATACATTTAGAGTCCCCGCCAGCATGTTTCCACAGGGTGCTCTGGTGTGGTTTGCTCCTTCTTTCCTGTCAAATGTCTACCATCCTTATCTATCCTCCTTTTCTGTGTTTGTTAATCTCTTGTCACATTTCTAATCTTCGGCACTTATATTAAGTTATGATATGACCATATTGTTTTGCAAGTGCCGTAAAACTCTTACTAAAACTAATTTTGTTTGCAAATCTTATTGCTTACTCTTACATTACTCTGTTAATACTTTCAGGGTCTAATGTGAGAGTTAATAGGTAGAGAGATGTATATGAATATAAGACACTAAAAATTCATATTTTTAAAGTTTTCAAAACTATGTCCTATGATATTGTTTGTGCCATAACTCATTTCATGTAGTAAAGATTTCTAGACTTTGCCAGACTTCTCGCTTCATATTAAGTGTTCACTATATCTTCTTAACTCTATAATACGCAACTGTTTTAACAATTTAAAAAAATGGTTACATGTTTTGCTTTCAGGGTCACACAATGTTCATGTGAAAGGAGATATGGCAGAGAGTAATGAACCCAAGCAAGATTTTGCTCCGCCATGGCTCAAGTTTCCCCCTGCCGATTCTTCGGTTAGTTGTCTGGTTAATGATTTACTCTTTCTTTATTTTTTAAAGGTTGCTAATGTGTGCATTAGATGTGATTGCTTTTAAAGTTGGGCTCTTTGTAATCCTTATTTTTTCCCCTTATTACTCAGCCTGTAATTTCAATAGTTTGAAGTTAGTATCTTATTCTTTGTTAAAATATTAAACTATTTGAAATGCAATTTTACTGATGGCTATTTATAGTGAAGATAAAACTTTTCATGAAAGAATATATATGATTTTAAAGGAAATTATTTTTCTTTGAAGCATATATAGGAATTAAATTGTTAACTATTGTTGTCAATGCTTAGACGGCCACCTTAGTGACTCCATTACATTTTGTCATAAATCATGCATTGGCCCCTGGCATTGTGGGCAAGCCGTCATAATCCAATCACCTGTTCTTGTTGTTAGGTAGTCCCTCCAACAGATCATGTTGCATAGGCCCCTCCCGCTGTTGACCAATAGGTAACAATAAATTTCCAGCTGCTGGTGAGGTAAGCGTGTGATCCCTCATAACCCATAAGCCCCGCCCAGAACTCATACACAAATCGTGAGATGAGTGGTCACTGTTTACCCAGTCTGTAACAAAGTGGCAATGTGGGTCAACATGAACTTGTGATAGAAGCGTCGCTCGTTCTCTGGGTGGTGGCGATCTGTGTGTTTGTTTTACCATAGCACGCGGTCCTCCTTGTTTGACACATTTCGTTTAATTGTCACCTTTGCGCAAAAGCAGCAACAAAAAAAAAGAAAAAGAAAAAAAGAACCAGCGAAAGCAACAACAACAACAACAATGCAGCTACCACTGAAAGGAAGGGTTTGTTTTCTTTATCTTGATCAGTCCCACTTAAGACGGCCACCTGTCTTATACGAGCACTTTTCTCCTTGACAATGGGTAGCCGTCTTACACAGGTTCGACTGTATATGTGAAGCGTGCTGAAAAAATGAGTTACTTCTTGGATTTGAGCCCGATGGAAATCCATATATCACACTTATAGGTGAAGTTTTTACAATTTATAAGTATGAAATAATTAAAGGCATGTTATACTTAACCCTTCCAGCCCCAAGCGGGTATATTTTCAGCAGAGCTTGTACCTCCCACCATCCCAAGAGCGTATATTCTCAGTTTCGGGGGGTACCAAATTTGCGTATTTTTCTAAATTAGCGAACCTAATTAAACTCTAATTTTCATAATATTCGTTCATTTACCTTTGAACACTGTTCTATGTTATTACCTAAACCTCATTACAAAGATATTACATCACTTTTTAGAATGCATGCCAGTTTCTCTGAAATACCGCTGTATTGGCTGGGGCTGGGGTAAGGAAGTGCACAAAAATGGCTGGGGCTGGAAGGGTTAAAGAATATGGCATCAAAAGAAAATCTACAAATTTGGCACTAGTGTCGATTGTTGGCCAATATCTCCATTTGTGGATTTGAGAAATGACTCACTTCGTTAGCACCCCTCACATAATGTCCTTTGGAGCAGTGTGAAAGTCCTCCATTGAAGGTATATCACACAGACAGGCTTCAGAAATTGACATGATACATTTTTGTTGAATCTAATAGAAAAGGTTTAACAGATACCCACTTGAATATATTAGAATAAAAGTTGTTTTTTCCCCAGAAGAGTTCAAGTGTGAAATCAGTCTCATATCCAGCTGAGCGCAATCGTCAACGTAGAGATGATCCTTATTCCGCCAGGCCAGAGTTCAGCCGTCTTCACAGGCAAAGCTCATTTGACTTCCATGAAGGTTTGTGTCAATTTGATTATTTGATATGTATACAAGGAGCTTGTTTGCTGATTAGACAGTGTTCTCAAACTATTGTCATTTTCCAATAGTGTGAATAGGCCTGTATCTTCACGAAAAGTATGAAAGTGGAAATTCAGAAACCACTTCAAAAGTTGATAAATGTCTTGTTAATTTTTTTTCATCATGCGATAAAGTTAGGATACTGGTAATAAAACCAATTTTGAAAAAAAAAAGACATGAAACCAACTTTGTTTAGAATCACATTTTATCGCAGTGAGGTATTTTTCAGATGTCTATTCCTTGCAAAAACTTAATGTTGGCATTCCAACTTCAGAGTGGGTGGTTAGGTGGTATGACAAAGTTTGGCTTAATTTGAAGCTTGCATTGTCTTGGTCTTGAGAGATGAGAAAATAAAATGCGTTTGCCTTTTTATTCTCTCTCATAGGCAAGCGATTCCATCAAGGCCAGTCAAAATATCGGCATCATTCTGTGGATGATGACAGCTACAACTCCCCTTACAATTATGGATACTATCCTCCAGGTTATAATTACGAAAAGTATGGAATGCAGTACAGCTCACAGCCGTCTTTGGGAAGGTCAATAAGTCGAGATGGAAAGCTGATCCCTCCTCGCCCTTCACAGGTAAGACATTTTCTTTTAGAAATTGCAGCTAGACAGTAATTTTGATTCTTTCAAAAGTTAGTTTAATAGTTTTCATCTAGTATTGGGGAGGACCAAATTCTGGCAACAGTTTCGTAAAACACGCTCAAATAGAATAAAGCTTGGGAGTGTTGTCTGCGCTTGCAGTGGTGGTGGTGATATTTTTAGCACCTTGCCATCACAAGGCTCATATAGTAAAAACCCTTGCCTTAAAAGGCAAAGGCATTTTGGGGAAAATCCAAAGAAACTGGTTGGTAAACATTGCCGGTTGGCAAGATGTGACAGCAAAGTGTTAAACCTGTCAAGTACTGTGATAAAATTGGAGCCTTCTGATTTATTCATTTTTTAACCAATTATTAATTTTTTTCCTATGGAAGAACCCCTTTTGGATTTGCATAAAATCTGATTTTTTAAACTTGAATTCTGTTTCCATCAATTCTATGGAACTTATTGTAAAAAATGTTTATATGCAATACATGCAGAGCTGCTACCCTCATCCAAAAATTACGTATTCTTACGTTTAAAAATTTTGAAAATACGTTTATAAGACTTTTTCATATATTGTACGTCTTTTTCATGTCAGCAGGGTAGCATTAGGATTTTAGATTTCATATTCTTCTGCCTGTCCCGCAAATTTTGCCCGATAAACATTATTTGGTAACCTCTTGTTCCTGCTGACCCTGTGTCTGAGCGTCGCTATGGCTTATCTTGTGTGTACCACGTGAGCTACGCTGTGGGTATGATACGCTGTGGGTACGAAGTGGAACAAATGTGTGCACGCCAGTCTGCTTGTGTCTGTATACTGCTACATTTGTTTGTGCTTATCATCAACACATACTAGCATCAGTACTGACGTTTCCCTTGTTCATCCAGTGAAATTGCAGCAGATATTACATACATTACTACTCGTGACCTATTCAGACACTCAAAACTCAAAGGGGATTCAGGAAACTGTACTCCCATTTAACAGCCTAAAAATCACTTTCACATGTTTTCAGTGAGCTTGTTTACACAGTATCGTAACATTTATTGATTTAGATCTTGTTAAAACCATTCTAGTGATTAGAAGGTGAAGTTGGAAAGCAACTGATTAAAAAAAAACTTTAGAAAACTGGACTAATTTTTCTCCTCTCAAACCATTTGGGAGGGGGGAGGGGGGAATCCACACTGCATAACTCATACTACTTATAGAAGGATCCATTTATGAATTATTTACTGTAACTTTTTCTTTTTAAAGATAATATTTGGAACTGCTTTGTTTTGTTTTTTTTGATGTCCCAGTCTCAAGTATTATAAAATACTACAGCATTATGTACTGGTCCTGGTGCCTGTGGTGTGACAATTGCACCGTTGAGTGATTGCTGTCTTTGGATGGAGGATTATATCCGCCCTATGCCTGAGTTGACCCTGAAAGGAAGAGTTTCGAATCAGAATGTCTCCTTATTGATCTATGTGGGGTCAAAGGGGATGGGATATATTTTCAGTAATTTGTGTCTTGCTGTCCTTTTTTGGGTTTTTTTGGTTTTTTTTTTTTTTTTTTAGAGTGGACCAGAACAGATTTTGATGTTTTGCTCATTTTTTTTTCAGGGTACTCCAAGAAGAGGAGGTTACCATGAAAAGGATCACCCCAAAGACCCAAGAAATTACGATGGAAAATTCCGGGAGAGAGGCTCCGAGAGGGACAGACCTTTCAGTGATGATTTTGTAAGTATTTACAGTCTCGGCTCTGTTTGTTAGCTTTTGTCTTTTCTGAAAGTTTTGAAAAACCATGTACAATTGTGCACCCAGATTTTAATCCACTATTAATGGTCTTTATCCCTTTTTGGTTATGTAAGAACAAAACACATGGTTCAAAAAGTATCTGTTTGTTCTTTTCTTGTGTATCATTTTGTCATAATTTTTTTTCAAGCCTTTTCTGTTTTTTAAATTTTACCTCGACCTGGAATAAATGTACCAATGGTCCCATATAAGTTTCAGATTTATAAATTTAAAAAAAATGTTTTTCAGCCTTCCCTCGTGAGCAATGGTGAGCCTAATGGAGAGGTAAAACCAGCCAAGCCAGGTTCTGGAGTTTGGGGTGAGTGTGTGTCACGTTCAAGGTTCATTTCTGTTTGCTTGTGAAAGAGCAGGTTGTTGAGGTGGGTCTGACTTTATCTCTTCCCCCCTCCCCCCACTTCTTATTTCTGGGTCTGGTTTGCTATTTCCCAGGCACTAAATGATGGTTATTATATCGATATGCTTTTCTTAGACTTTTGAAAGAGGTGATCCATTCACTTCTTTTCATACATAATCTGATGGGTATTGGACTTAAAGTTTGAATGATTCACACCAGTGTTCCTTGTCCACGCAGGAATATCTCAAAAATGTCTTTTGTAAATATGTTATTGCCTTTTTATATTTTAACAAGTAATGATAATACATTTTTTATAAGTAAAACTTCAAGAGTTGTGCTCATTTTAATTCTTCAGGAGAGGATTTCTGTTTGGACCCTTATTTTGTACTTTGTTGCTGGTTTGCGTAGAATCATAGATGAAGGTGTAGCTAATTCATGGAAACCGCAATTGCTTCTTGTGACCCAGCAGATTCATGGATATCCCACTTATTTCTTTAGAAGTATGAATTTTGGTTTTAGCGTCTGCACAAAAATATACAATGTTCAATGTTAACTTTTTTAAAACAGAGAATCCACCTAAATCGAATCGAAATGATGATTCGCCGGATCTGCTGAAAAATACTTCCCCTGGAATCTACAAAGCTTTGGTTCCGAACAAGGTATGCTGTACTGTTTTCTTCTCTATTTCACAAGAGACAGTAGGCTCCTCATGGGTCGGCGTGCAAACGTACACATCCCATGGTTCCAGAGGTTGCTGAACCCTGTGACAATTATAATATGTTAATGATAATAATAATAGATTGCATTTGTATAGCGCTGTATCCCATACAAGTATAAGTTCTTTTGAGGTTGCGTCATACAAGGCCTGAACCAGTGGCTAAAGTAATTTTGTTCATTTTTTGTCCATATCCATATATATTTCAAATAATTGTACAAACAAAAGAAAGATACTTATTGACAATCTGTTTTCACATTTTTTAAACAAATGTAAAAATGGTAAATAGTGGAAGTTATAAGTGTCTACTTGGAATAGTTATCTGACAGTGAATGTTCCAAAGCACCTAGGAAATGCCGGCAGCTGGGATTAAATTGGGATTTCAACCCCTGGCAGTCTGTTAGTTTAAGCCTAATTATTTTTTCTTGCTAAAATACAAGGGTTAACTTTTATAATGGAATTTAAAATGTGAGAAAAAGCTTTATATTTGAGTGAGATATTTGTTCACCAGAAATTACCAGTGGTTCCAGGCACTCAATTCTCGCTTTGACTAGGGATGCATGTAAAATTTAGCAGGGTTGGTGATTTTTTTGATTTTTTGGATAAAAATAAAAAAAATCGATTTTTAAAAATTTTAATCAGATTTTTTAAATTTAAATTGGATTTTTTTTATTTTAAAAAAAATGTCGACACAGTTTGGGATTTTTGGTGGCTAAAAGTATGTTCTTTTAGTGCAAAATGCATTGTCTTTATTTTAACTAATGATTAATTTAAGCAACTGCAATTTTAGAAAGCCTTAATCTGCTATATCAGTGAATTATGGCTACAGACAAAAAATGAAGAAAATGTCAGTCTATAAGGAGGGGGGGGGGGGGGTAATTATGCATAGATAAACTTGCATTTTATTTTTTATTACAGTGTGTGTGTGAGCACGCGCTTGTGTTTGTCTAAAAAGAAAAAGAAAATGCTAATTTCAATTATGAAAAAAAATAAATTGAATACTGTATTATTTTACTACTTACAGTGACAGGGGGGGAAAGCAGACTTTTAAGCAATTTTAGTCTACTAAACCTTATATCTGTTTTATAAAACCAAGGAAAGGAATTCTGAATGTTTAAAGATGTAAAAACAGTTTTAAAGTGATTTAAATCCCTGAGTTTTATTTTTAAAATCAAGTCGATTTAAATTTAAAAAAATCAACTGATTTAAATCGACCCGATTTAAATCAACCCAACCCTGGTTTTCAATTATGAAAAAAAAAGTAAATTGAGAACTGTATTATTTTACAGTGACGGGGGGGGGGGGGGGAAGCAAACTTTTAAGCATGATTATATTAGTCTACTAAACCTTATATCCCTTTAAAATAAAACCAAGGAAAGGAATTCTGAAAGTTTAAATATGTAAAAACTGAATACATTTTTTTGAAAAGTGATTTAAATCACTGATTTTTATTTTAAAAATCAAATTGATTAAAATTCTTAAAAAATCAACTGATTTAAATCAACCCAGCTCTGATTTCAATTATGGAAAAAAAAGTAAATTGAATACTGTATTATTTTACAGTGAAAGGGGGGAAATCAGACAGCATGATTATATTAGTCTACTGAGCCTTATATCTGTTTTATGAAACCAAGGAAAGGAATTCTGAATGTTGAAATGTGTAAAAACCGAATAAAAATGATAAAAAAAAAAAGTGATTTGAATCACTGATTTTTATTTAAAAATTCAAGTTGATTTAAATTTAAAAAATCAACTGATTTAAATCATCCCAACCCTGAAATTTAGTGGTCCTGAAAGTACATTGAAGATCAACACTGTGTTAATTTTTTTGTCCTTTTATCTTCCCAGAATGGACCATCGAAAAAACCTGCTCGGGATGGCTTGCGCATGAATGGAAATGTCAGAGATTCGTCCCCCTTGAGTCCTTCAAACAAGTCGAATTATAAAGAGGTATGGTGTTTTGCCGTCTTTGTTTTTTTGTTTTTAATTTTTATTATCTTGATGGCTAGAGTGAGCGCTTTTCTGATGTATGTAGTCATAGTATTGTTAGGTGTTCAAGGGTCTGGCTGTACCTGAAACAAGGCAATTTAAATTTCACTTTGCATATGAATTATTTCGTGCACATTCTTCACTGATTTAATTGTTTTGTCGAGCAGTACATGTACAGGGTGTATTTTTGTCTGCTCATGGTTGCTGAAGCCTGCTATAAAGAATATTTTTTTCTCTCTTAAGTTTTGCTGCCTTTTTCTTTGCGACAGGGTACACGTCAGAGTCCAACACCTGATCTAACAATTGTAACACAGCCTAAAAAGCTGGGAGATAAGAAAAGTGAATTCCTTCGGGCCCTTCGGAATGAAAGCTCATTGAGGAATGGAGATAACTTCCAGGACCAAAATCAAAATGCGATTGGAAAGAGAGAGGTATGTATGGGGTTGAGTTTGAGCTGAAAAATCTCAAGTGTTTTTTGTGAGCGTCATTTCAAAGGTTTTATGATCAATGTTGTATCTGAGGAATGTGTAATGCGCTGGGATGACTCATGGTCATAATGGTTGTAAAGAAATTGGAGTGGGTGTTTAGCTGGTGCTGCTTATTTACTGTAAAGCATCTGTTGTCCATATCTTTCCTCTTTTTCTTTGAATGTGTTATTCTTTAGTGACACCTCTAATCTTTGACATTTATATGACCTAGTTGTGTTGCAAGTGCTGTAAAACTCTCTTACTAGAATTAAAGGTAAGAAACTGGAACTTGTTTGAATAGGTAGCTTTTTGGCTAAAATGATAAGATAACGAGCTGTGCTGCCATTTGTGTCTCGACTTTTCTTTCTCTTGATATGTACCTGTTCAGTGGGGCATATTTCATCACTACCTTTCAAATGTTAACTTGCAGATGTGCAAATGGTTGGAGGATGCCATTGGCAGTTCTGGCATCTTTTACTTCGTTCAGTTGTTTCTGTCAAGTCTATTTATTGCGGGTGGTTGGCGGGTTCGCTGGTGTGGTTTGCTCCCTCTTTCCTATCAAATATCTTTAATCCTTATCTCTCCTTCTTTTTTGTATTTGTTTCTCTTGTAACACCTCTAATCTTTGGCTCAACATGACGTAATTGCTTTGCAAGTGCTAAAAATGAACACTATAACGAAGGAAAGTGGTTGGATAGCGGGTGCTCTGGTGTGGTTTGCTCCTTCTTTCCTATCAAACATCTATCGTCCTTATCTCTCCTTTTTTGTGTATGTTACTCTCTTGTAACACATCTATGTAAAATTCTTACTTAAAATAAAACAAAGGATAAAAAACCACTTTGATTTATTTTGAACAATTTTCTCTGGTATTTTTTACTCATTTTCTCATTTTCCTCTGTACAGCACTCGCTACATGGAAATGAAAGCCCCATGATGGAAGACGTGAATGCATTTACACACGTGAATGGGAACCATGGATCTGATGTTGTTAATGGCAAAGAGAGCCCCAGTTGTGAAAAAGAGGAGCCGGCCGTGAATGGGGATGGTGGAGAGACCCTGGTCTCGGATGTGGATCACATCAACCTTGAGGGAGAAGAGGAGGAGAAAAGGTAATGAATGGGCGGGGGGGGGGGGGGGGCGCTTTGTGATTGATCATTAGTGTGATAGTGACAATTAGTTTTGTATGATTGTGGCTTATTTTTTAAAATGATTGTCATCGTTAGTATTTTTGTGGTTGTCATCTTTTGTTTTTCTATGATTGTCCACATTTGTTTTTGTATGATTGTGAGCCTTAGTTTTTGTATGATTGTGGTTATTTGTTCTCGTATGAGTGATAATGCCCAGCCTGACTCAACAGGGTTTGTTCAGAAAGTGGGTGGTTGTTGGTTCACTTAGGGATGCAGTGTGGCAGAGCTGGGCTTTTTGCATTTGCTATTCACTGCACCATTTTGAACAAATTGCCTCCCATTATGATTTTAGTTTACTCTTTCCGTATTGGCCAAAATTTGTTAATCCCTCAGAAGTTAGTTTTCAGATTATTGTTCAAATTTTTTTTTTTTGGTCAGTGTTTTACGGCGCTTGCAACTGCATAAGGTCATGTGAGAGTGCGGGACACATTTGAACATTTTCACTTTGGTAGGAGTTTTGAATTTTGGCCGGGTGGCGACCGAAGCCTACTTTTATCGATTTTTAGAATTGCGGAGGGGTCTTTAGGGCAGGGGTCCCAGGCTGTTTTGAGACGCAACTGATAAGATCGATAGTTGAGGTGGTGCATTGACAGCTTAAAAAAAAAATTATAATTCAATAATAAATTGTTGTATTTGCATGAAATTTGGCACACCAGTTTCTTGCATGCCACTAAACTCTGTGTACAAAAATTATTATTGTATCTTATAAACTTTTGATTTTATGTCATTTGTTGTCTTTTAATCATATTGTTCTCAATACATCATTTTTTAACACACTTTTCTGGACTTCTTTGAAGTTTACCAGTAGATTTGCTTGAAATTTGCTGTAGGTGTCACCCAAATACCCTTTTCAATTGTACAGTAAAATTGATTTAAAATATTGAATACTTTCTGTTTTATGACTAAATTTTGAAAAAGATTTGATTTTTTCGGAAGTTTTTCTGGGATACCAATTTTCAAAGCTCGTAACTTTCCTTATCGTGAAAGATATAAGAACAATTCTCCGATATGTTAAAAACAATACCTTAAGGTCTCTAGGTATTTATTTTCAAACATTGGTAAACTTCCGAGAAGTCTTTTAATTTTAAAATTGGGCGTAAAATCCAAGATGGCCACCAATGTTATGGCGACCATCTTGGATTTTCCAAATTTTCTTTCCTATTGCATTTCTTTCTCAATTCAAACCTGCATGCCAAACTGTAAGTCTGTACTTTACTTAATAACGATTTTAGCCCCATCCTGGGACCCCTGTCCTTAAAGGTGCCCAACTGGCTCATTGGACCTCTGAGATTTTTCGCCTTTATCCGTTATTGTCAGAATGGTTATTGTGATTGTTACAAAATATGGTAATGACCAATGTCATTTTCATTTGTATGCTTTTGTTTTATTCCTCTAGGTTGCTTCTAGAGATGGGCTGGGACGAGGAAGATGACACAGAATATGTTATCACTGATGATGAAATTAGAGAGTTTCAGGACCTGGTAATTTTTTCTTTTTGTTCATTTTTGTGTGCTGTAGAGAACTAGATTTTAAATTGGAAAATCTGTTCTTTGCAGTCTTTGCCTTCTTTCTTTCTTTCTTTCTTTCTTTCTTTCTTTCTTTCTTTCTTTCTTTCTTTCTTTCTTTCTTTCTTTCTTTCTTTCTTTCTGTTCATTTTAGTGTGCTTTAGAGAACTAGGTTTCAAATTGGAAAATCACTTCTTTGCTTTCTTTGCCTTCTTTTTTTTCTTTCTTTCTTTTTGGCTTAAGAGAACTAGATTTTAAATGGGTGATTGGCGGGTGCTTTGGTGGGGTTTGCTCCTTCTTTCCTATCAAACATCTATCGTCCTCATCTCTCCTCCTTTTTTGTGTTTGCCAGACCCCAGTAACACCTCTAATCTTCGGCACTGATATGACTTTACTGTGTTGCAAGTGCCGTAAAACTCTTACTAAAACTTTTTTAACTAGATTTTAAATTGGAAAATCACTTCTTTGCTTTCTTTGCCTTTCTTTGCCTTTCTTTCTTTCTTTCTTTCGTTCAAATGAGTCCTATGCTCTGATTAGCTGTGCTGTTCAGAATGCACATTGTCAGTTGTGAGAAGTTTTCCTAGTTTGAGTGGTGCTCCTACCTTTGCAGGCCTGTCATATACTCTGATAAAACTCATTTTTTTTCGCACATAGGAAGAGTACCTGATTGGATTTGTATAAAATCCGATTATTAAAAAAAATTCCATTGCCATCTGTCTTACACAACTTATCGTGAATGACAAGAAAACACACAGGTTAATTTGCAATATATGCGGGACATTGTAAATAACGTGAAAATACACACTTTGATTTGCATGTAGTTGCTATATTTGCACGTTTATGTGCCACAATTGGTTTGCAATAGAGTTGGGGCGAGCGGACAGATGGGTTCGTTACTCGCGGTAAACGGACGGCCATGGGAGCGGACTGCGAGCCTCAAGACGGTTACAGTGGAATCCACTTATAACGAGTCCTGAAATAACGAGAAGTCTGTTATAAAGACACTATTCTAAAACCCCGTTTTTTTCCTTCATTATCTTTGTAAATAAAATACTGCCATAGCGCAATCAGACAAATGTGCGAGTCGGTTATAGCGGAATATTCCTGCTGCTGTGCACAGCGCATAAGCCATTTCTTCATGCAAAGCCTCGCTAGTTGTAGGTGATCTTGCGAAACAAAGAATGGGTATGGTGGGGTGGCGGACAACACAGCGGATGAGTTAGCCTAGAGAACTTTATCTCTGATCGCCGACGCCGAACTGTCAACATCGCTAGCGCTAGAGAAAGAAACCTTATTTAGACCTGCATGTTTGCCGACAATCGTCTGAAATCCGACAATCGCGACGCGACCCGCGAGGCGGCCGATGCTATCGCTAGGCCCACCTGTATCAGTCAATGTGCGTAGTGCGAGGCCTGGCCGACTGCCAGCGTCCCCCTTTTCTCCCGTCGGCTTTGTCGGCACTTTCGTTTTCGTGCCGACCGCCGACGCGCGCACCGCCGACTGCCGACGTCGGCGTTTCCGACATAATTGTCGGAACCTGAGAAGAAATGCGAATACGAAAAAAGACGACGACCTAAATTATCTACTTTCAGTTTCGTGCTCGAGCGGCCATTTTGAATTTCGTTTTGTTGACAAATTCAATTGTTCAGATCGTGTGGATTCATTCCAGTCCGACTCACTTAGATAATAGAATCTAGATCTAGATAGATCTAGATTTATATAGATCATTATAGACCTCAATGGAGAATTCATATTACAATTCTATTTTGTCAAACCCTATCAAAGGTTGTGCTGTAATATTAATGTTGGTAAAAGGCATTTCATCAGGTGCGTGAATTATTTATTTATTTAGAATCTAGACTCAGCTGAGCCCCTCTGTTCGGAATCGGATGCGGATTTCTAGTTCAAGGCCTATTCCTAGATCCTATTCACTTGTTCTTCTAGATCTAGATCTAGATCTAGATTTATTTAGTTTACTAGATCTATATGGAGGATTCTTATTCCAATTCTATTGTGTTATTTGATATCAAACCCTATTATTGTAGATCTAGCAATATGTAGGTGTAGGCCATTATGCTCCTTGTAAGCCTTGTTTGTTTTGGGGTGTGGTTTTTTAATTTTAAAAATGTTTTTCATTTTGGACTTGTGCTGGCCTTTTCACATGAGGCTCGTTGCAGGTTCTTTTTTTGGGTAGGCCTAGGGGTAGGGGTAGGGTTAGGTCTCTTCTTTGTTGTGTTTGTTGGGGTGGTCGCTCGTTACTCGGAAGTCCTTCCTTATGACACCCACAAAAGCTCTTTTTTTTAGGGGGGGGGGGGTGCGTAAAATTTTCAGACAATCTGGTTGAGCCTCACATGCAGGTCTACTTATTCGATTTTTGATCAAGTAAGACCTAGAGTAGAGATCATGTTAAACCAAATCATCATCAGGGGAGATTACAAAAAGAAACGAACAGAAAACCAGACTCATAGATTTGGCCTACTGTACTATTTCCCTTGAATTCCCTTAAAACGAGAATCCAGCCATAATAGATGTTTCGCACCGGCCCCCTCCCTCTCGTTTTAACAGGATTCCACTGTATTTTTTTTTGCGTCGGCACCACAATGTTTTTCTCTCAGCGAGTGGACTGCGAACCTCAAGTCAGTTCGTTTCTTGGGCCCGCTCCACAACTTTATTCACTGAGCAGGCGGGCGAGCGGACGAACTCTAGCAGATTGTTTGTTAATTAGGCCTAGTGTTTTAAGCCACTTGCGGTGCCACAGGGAGTGAGAGAGGCTGTTGAAATAGTACTATGTGTGTAACCTTTCACTTCTTGTGTTGGTCACACTGTGTACGTTCCTTTTTATCGCGAAGACGAAGGGTAAAGTATTCCCAAAAGCCTTTGGGGGGTAGAGAATTTTCCGCCCTGAACGCCTAGCTACAATGTGAGACAGGAGGTTGATTTGGGGGGGGGGTGGTGTTTGTATGCAATGGAAGGAGTCACTTCCTGTCTGTCCCTCTGCCCGCTTAAATGCCTGGAGTCTCTCCGTCCGCCTGTCCGCTCTCTCGCTAAACAAACTGTTGTCTCTGTCCGATGCGTAGCGAGTAGCGAACGAATCTTCACAAGCAGGCGGCTCGTTACCGTCCGCTCGTTTGTGGGTAGTTCCAGTGAACCGTTCGTTACTTGCGGACGCTGATTTAGCTAGCCCGAGCCAACTCTAGTTTACAATGTATTGCAGATTTCAAGTAATTTTCTTCTTTCCTTTCCTCCCCAGCTACAAAATCACTGCCATGGACAGAAGAATGGCCTGAAATCTTCGTTGCGCAACGTTCTCAGTAAGAATTTTGCCAATGGCTTGAATGGCAGCAATGATGAAAGCGAAAAACAGTCAAAGCCTTTGTGATACATGTAGTTGCCATTTCTACACATTGAAGTGCATGAGATGGAATTTCTTTTAAAGTGTGCCTGAGTGGAAGAGAATGCTAAAAGGCTGAAGTACATTTTGTTCTCACGGAGCATCCTTCATCTCTTCAGTATTTCATATGCAACTGTAACTTGGAGTGAAAAAAATAATAACAAGAAGAAAAATCATTGGACCAATTTGGAATGGACTTGAAAGATTCTTTAATTTTTCAATTTCACTTGAATGTTGATTGCTGTCTCATAGATGATAGTGATTGATTATAGTAATTGAGCACCCTGTTTTGTACATTGATGATGATGATGATGATGATTCCAATTTATGTGTTTTGCGTAGATGATGTGAAGCATGCAGCTCTCATTTGTCTGTTGTTCCCATCATCAAACTCTCAACATCACCACCTTCACCCATCCACTCTCACCCTCCACTCCCCTCCCACCCCCACCCCCCTTGCTCTGATTGATGTGGTCATATCTTACACAAGTGTGTGGCGTTCCTCTGTGCTGGTAAATATTTTTAGTTTTCACATCTCTGTTAAGGAGCTCCCGAGAAAGAACAGCACAGAAGTTAAGTGTTTGGCTTTGGGTTTTTTTCCCCCCTATTAACTGATGAGTTCGGACATGTTTTTTTTCACCTGTCGATGATGACAGTGATGAGTACAGGAGTCCAGGATTCTTCTTCACTACTTTTATTTTCCCCTCTTGATTATTTTGAGAGTTGGTTAGAAATGGTTTCTCCGATCACCTCGCAAACTTAAAAACGTTTTTTATCTGTTCTGTTAACGTACAAAATTCATCGTCTCCATCGGCTACCCTTTTTTTTTCTTCATGAGAGTGATAAACATTCTAGAAATTTTGAACCTCTCCCCCTCCTCCTCCTCCTTCACTACCCACAGATGACCGACCCTTTTTTTCTTCTTGGAATCAGAGTGTCACGGGCATAGAGTTGCCCCGAGAAGTTTATTTTCTACCTATTTATATGTGTATACATTTTATTTGTAATCAATTTGGAAAATTGTCTTCCTCTTGATGGGTGAGAATCAAAGACAATTATATATACGCAAATCGTGCAGTCTGAACAGTCATCATTCCCGTCCCCTCTCTCCTTACATCATGGCAGCATAGAGACCTACATGTACCGTCAAGAAATTACTATGATTATTACAGACGGTTTTCATTATTTTTTTATAATAAAGTCTGAACAAAATTGAGTCGGAAGATTTTTTTTTTCTCAATCTGAGTAATCTTCGTAGAAGGGGGTTGCTGACTACCAGTTTTCTTCCCTTGTCCTGTATTATTCTTTATAGTAGGGGTTGTTTTTTAAGTGGGGGAGTTTTTGCCCTTTTTTTCATCATCTTGCTCTGTACATACCTGTTGCCATTCTTGATTGAAATATTTTTGAAAAGCTTCCACATTTAGTTGTAGATTTGGGGGAAAAAAAAGTCATTGGTTCGGGGTATGTCGAAGGAAATTATATTTTGATGTGTATGTGAACACTGGTTGTGGCAAAGGAGGTGGTACTATTTCATTTCCAATAAATAAGACTGACTTAAATCTGGAGGGAATGGAGAGGATTAAAAAGCTAAGATGTGCTTTATTTTGATTGGTTTTATTTCTCCCTTTTCACATGAGCTCAGAGTTCTTCTGTTTCCTCTTCTGGCCTTTCCTTTTTTGACGCAGTGATTTTTTTTTTCCTTTGTGTTTTAGATGCAAACCATATCAATTCAGAAGTTGCCACCTTCACATCTATGAGAATTGGGATGTGATTTTATGTACTCCTGACCTGCGCATTCACGATTGCATTCCATATTCTTAGTTCTGTTCTGGGATTTTGTAGATGAGTTGGCTGAGTTTTATTGTTGTAGCTGTTCTTTATGTTGCTTTTTGTGTGTACTTATTCCTTTTTTTTAAAGTTCTTTTTTCCCCTCTAGTTTCGTACTTTAGAGAGGCTACATGATGCCTTACTGACACATGGGCCATTATATTAAATCAAAACATTCCCCCTTTGCCAAAGCAAGAAAAGCCCTATCATTTTTTATCTGCGCAATTGTGTTTATTTTTGGGATTTTAATTTTAAGTAACAATAGTTGGTCCTTTTTAGCTGTGCTGCACTCTTACCATGATCATATATACCGGTATGACAAGGTATTCAGTGAAACAATATGAAGTCACCCTTATTTTTATTTTTTTTACTTTTTTCTTTTCCACAGTTCCATTAGCTCATTAAGATTTCTGTAATATTATAGAAACTTGTCCTTTTCTGTCATCTGATTCTAATGCTTGCATGTAGATTCATGTTCTCAAGTTTGCATGGTTTTGTTAGCACTTGAAAGGATTGCAGTTGACACAACAGAAATATGTTCAAAAGGAGAGGCCACCGAAGAGTTTACTGTAATGCAGTCAATAATGTCTGAATGATTTATACCCTTAGTTAAATTTACGTCCAATGTTCTCATTAGTCACACCAATTGCTGTAGTTTCTAGAGGTGCACTCTGTTCAGCACCGTTTGATGTGGTGAAGGGTAAAAAAAATATGCTTCACCGTAAGAAATAAGACAATTACTGTGAATAGTAGAGGTTAAAGTGGGCGGGGAGGAAAAGTGCGCAGAAACTTTGTTTATGCCAGCTTTCAGTTATGACCAGATCACTCAAAAGCTTTCACGTTCTTGCTGGCATTTGAAATTTCAGCCTGTACTCTTTTAGAATGGCTATTGGTCGCGCTGCATAAAGAGTACATCAGTACAATTTGCAGACCTTTCAGTTTGCAATGATTATGCAGAAACTAAGAAATATTTGTCCTCCCAGAAGATGGAACGAAAGAGCTCTCTCTCTCTCTCTCTCTTTGGAGATTGAAGACTTATATGCTGTTTGATGTGAATACAAGATTGTTTGATGGTTTGGTGTTAATTGCTCAGTGCTCTTTCCCAAGGTTGTTGCATCTTGGGTGTGTTGACATCGTGTATGTTCTCGTGTACGGTGCTGGCAGACTAGGACCATCAGTTAAGCGATGATGTACTGACTTCTCTCTTGTATGTCTAGTATGTGCCAAATGTTAGGTTCAGAAGCTCACAGGGTTTTTCTTGAATGTACACTGTTTTCAAGCTGTCTTTCAAAAGAAGTAATAACCAAACATGACAGCCGATTATTAGCTAAGTCTAAACAACAGGCTGGTAGAATTTGTAAGTCTCTTCATTCTTTCATGTTTTTTTTTTCTCCATAACGTTTAATGAAGTAATAAAGTGGATATTTTTTTTCCAAAGGGCTTCTGTTTGATATAATATCTGTGTGAAGTTTGTGACGACTTGCGTGTATGGTGAAGGGAACATGGGTCTGGAGGATGAGATACATTTTAAAGTTTATTCTGACGACCTGTCTGAATGTATCAAGAATTGCTGGGTCAGCATCCTGCCATAATACATTATACTTTTGTTCTAGTTTTCCTCCGGAGATCTTTGGTGAAAGGTACAGGAAAAGTATCTGCCCACCACCCAGTTTGTTTGGGTTTTTTCCCACATAGCAGCATAATTATGTGTGGTAGTGAGTAGAAAGTGCGCTGTTCTTTCTACAAGCATCTTGTTATCGATCCAGTTCAACAAGTGTAGAGAAGGGTATTTATTGATATACAGTGTTTGTAGGGAGAAAAAAAAGGCATGTAGAGAGTACAGATTATAATCAACTGATCAGACTGCTGCTGAGAATGTCAGTTGGAAATGTTTGTCCATGGTGTGAGTATCAGTTCAAGTAGATTTAAACTTGTCATTTCTTTTTCTTTTTTTTTTTTTTTTTTCCTTCATCCCTCTCCTACATTCAAACCATAAACATCCGTCCTTTAGCTGAGTCTTATTTTCCTTAAACACTTGTCTTTTTGTTACTAACCTAGAAGAAAGAAACATCTCTTTTCTTTTTGTTTCTGGAGAGATCCAGTTGTTTTTTTATTGTCAAGTGACCACTTTTAGAAGAGAAAAAGATGTCTTATTCTCTTTTACTCTCCACTATCAAAGTGCATGAAGCTTTATCATGTGTTTGAAAAATAAAAGTTTATAGACATTGTTATAAGACTGACGAGAGTTGTTTTTGCCGTTGTGTACAAATTGGCACTACCACTACCACCATACTGAGATATAGAGGGTTTGAAAAAAACATTTTTAGAATTTGTGCCTTACCAGAAAATAGTCGGAGGAGAGTCTTTATATGGAAATTTATGTACAGTAAAGAATTTTCTCACAGCCAAAAGCAGAATCTGAAGTGTGTCACAAAAGTAAACTTTGAATGTTGTTCATGACTCGGTCACTTTTTGCATGATATTGGTGACCGACTGAACGCTAGGTTCTCAGATTTAAGTTTACATACGAAGTAAAATCAGAGAATGTTTTCTTTAAATTTTTGGTAAACTTTCACTTTGTACGCTGACATTTGAAACTTTTAGGAGGTTATGCGAAACCGGTGTTGTTTATAAGAACTAGTAACATTGGCCTGGTTACTTTCTACAGTTTCCAACTTTCATAAAGTAATAAGGAAGGACCATCCAAAAAATATAGGGAAAAACAGTCTCAACTTTTTAGTAGAGATATTAATGAGCTATTTCATTTTTGTAAAATTAATTTGGATCCATACTTTGTGGAATGGAACACAGTTCACCCATTATAGTTGTGATCATGTTCGTCAAAAATGATTTTGAAGTTTTTACATTCTAAGAGAAAGAGTGCAGATATGTGTTTTCTATGTTCCTGCTTTGGCTTCTAATGAAACCTGCCTGTTTGCCAAAGGTGTATCCATGTTTGTTCTTTTCAGCTTCTTATCAAATATTTAGGCTATAGATTCTCAAGAAAGTGTTTTCTCTCATCGTTGGCACTTTGATAAAGAGAAAAGATTCTTGATACTATGATACACACGACTTGACTCAGGACCCTCCGCTGGTAGTTCCTACTGTTTTTACTGGATATTATTTCTTTCTGTTTGGCCTTTTCTGAGATTCCCTGCACTTAGCGACTGTTTCCTTGGTGTATCTTCTGGTCTAGTTCTTCCCCTTTCTCTGTAGACTAGAGGCAAAGGGCCAATGCACCTGAGCTCTTCAGGACTCTCATCAGCATTGCCTTTCTCACTTTCTCACCCTGCATCAGGGTATAGGCCACGAACAAACACTTCCCACCTTTCCCTATCCGGGCAAGTCTCTTGATGTTATTCCATGTCTCTCTGGACCTTACCACTGCACAAACAAGTGTATGTTTGGCAGGGATGCAAATTCTCCAGTTTTCTCGGCTTTTTCCATTTTGTTCATACACTTTTAAAGGAAAGGGGAGAGGTAAGAGAAATGTATTTGTTTGCTATTTTAAAATTTACGATGTTCGTTTTCGGTGAGATGTGATACTCCGCTCATTTTCAGGTTTTTTTTTCAAAATCACTTGGCATCTCTGGTATGGGGTACGGAAGGGTTGAGGTAGTCAGGTTCAGGCATTTACTTGAGTCCATCATGTTAAGCTCATCAGGACGGCTGTATGAAAGGGGGCTTTGTCTTCATAGGAGGTGTTAGTTGTGAGTCTTTCTTTAAACCACACGCTGCTGGGGGTTGGAAGGCGCTACTGGTAGATCCAGCTTCTTTTCTTTCCCTCTGTTATTTTTATGTCTGTCTTACTTTTCCCCCTGCACTAAAGGACAATTATTGTGTCGATGTGCTTCTTTTTACTCAAACAAACAAACCACATACATAAAGGGACCTAGTACCTCCTCACTCATCGTACTAAAAATTCCAATCTTTTGTTGTTTCTGTCTTTTTTGATGCAGAAGATGGGAAAACATTCTGATACAGCTTTTTCATTTTTATTTTATTCCCCTACGCGGGTGCCAACATATCCTCATGATGACCTGAATTCAGTCCACCACCGGATAAATCTTTATTCCCTTCATGAGTTCTGCGACTGGAACGTGAGAGAAAAAACATTGTGCAAAAAATGAGTCACTCTGGTCAGTGGATGGTTGATAGGCGCTCTGGTATGGTTTGCCCCTACTTGCATATCGAACATCTATCATCCTGATCTCTGTTCCTTCTTTTTGTGTTTGTTACTCTCATGTAATGCCTCTAATCTTTGGCACTTATATGTCCTAATTCAACCAACTGTGTTGCAAGTCTGGTAAAATTGTTACCGAAACAAAAAAAAAAAAGAGTGAACATTTGGTCAGTTCAAAGAGGCTTGATCTATTGTCCAAAAGGGTTTTATAACTGACTTTCAAAAAATGCAGGGATAAGAGTTTGTGTGTAGGAGTGCCACCAAAGTAGGTCATTGATGAGTGTTGGTTACCAAGGTAAAGCTGGAGCTCAGATAAAGATTGTCTGTGTACTTTATTGAACTTGCAGTCTTCCTCTATTTCTTTTTTTGGGCTTGTACATTCCTTTACAAGAACCTGATGAGTTGTTGGTCAATAATTTTATTTGTCTGTAGTCGTCGAGAGTCATTTTTATAAAAGAATTTGAGAGGCATCGTGGTAAAATCAGGTGCTCATCAAAATAATGAAATCAAAGAATACGTTTTTCTGGCAGTTGGGTGATTTTTTTCCCCTAATTTTCTTTTTTTTGCTCTCCACCTTTTATAATTTATGTCCATTTAAAAACACATGTCTGGGTAGTTTTTACTGAAAAACGTCAACCAAAGCAACAAAAAATGTAAATTTGCCGTTTCCAAGGACACTTAATCTTTGGAAGTCACCTAACTTTGGTGGCCATTTTCTGACTTATTTTACTTCTGACACAAGGTCACCCCCACCTCCTTCCATCGTAAATTTCTCAACTTCTATTCCAGATAAATCAAATAAGTGGATTTTTTTTGGCCAAAAGCAAGAGAAATAAACAAGTGTTAAGATGAAACAACTCCATATGCCAAAAAGTTTACGAGCGCGTGATTCCTCCATGTCATGATACATTTCACATGAGCTTGAGTAATGATTATAACAATGACATTTGAATTTAATAAAATTCAAATTCAAATGTTATTAGTGGAGAGCTGAGTTCCTTACTCGGGACTATTTCTATGAATCATTTCCTCTCCTGATGCTTATCAGCAAGAAGGAATTCCAAGTTGTTGGTTTCAGCACTTTTTCTGTGTGTATGAACTTCAGAAGCATATCACTGAAAGAGCACTTGTGTTTTTTGTCTATTCTCTTTTTGTTTGGCGACAACAGGAGGACTTAATTTAATGTTTGTATTTTTTAATTTCTACTTCTTCCATCTGTGCTGAGACTGCTGGGCGTTGAGGGGTTACTGCTGCTGGGCTTGCCACTGCCGGGCTGATCTACGGTGGGGGAGGTGGGGGGGGACCATGGAACTGACTATTTTCCTCTGTAATTGCTATTTTAATACTTTACTGATTCTCACACTGTATTGGTTAGCTGTTTTGTGTTGTCTTCATAGATTTGATTTGAAACAGCTGTTTTGAATAGGTTTACAGGTTACTTTTTTTTTTTTTGTGTGTTTTCTTCATAGATTTGATTTAAAACAGCTGTTTTGAATAAGTTGACAGGTTACTGTTTTGTTTTCTTCATAGATTTAACACTTTGCAGTCACTTGGTGCAATAATGCGACGGTGAACATTAGGCCTATCCGTTCCGGTCACGTGGTGCAGTTCTGCGCCAGGCCTGAGAAGTCCGTTGCAGTTAGTGAGTTACTCTCCTGGCTGGGTGACCAGATGGGTCATTTTGTACTGCTGGCTGTGTGACTGCAAAGTGTTAAAATGACTTGTTTTGAATAGGTTTAAGTGCTTTTGTTATCTTTAATGGATAGTTGTTTTTCTTGTTTTTGATTTTTGTGTTCAGGTTTGATAAGACTGCGGCACTTATATATATGACCGTATTGTGTTGCAAATGCTGTAAAGCACTCACTAACACTAGAACTTGTAAAACTGCTTTGAAAGGGTCTAGTTTCTTTCTTGTCTGATGGCTAATTCTAGTTGTAGAGCTTTGGGCAAGTGGAAAGGCTCCACTAAAAGTACTGCTTGTTCTGCTGGTTCATCGTTTTCCTTGACTCTGCTCGACCCTAGCTTTTAGCTGCCCCCGCGGTTTTATGCAAAAAAAATTCTGAAATTATGGAAACTGAGCCCAAAAATGTGAAATTATGCAATTCTGTTAATTTTAGCAAAGGATGATAAAGGAAAACAATCAGAAATTACTTTAAAAATGATCAAATCTTGCTAAATTCTGCGGGGTGCATAAAACCATGGGGACAGTTTTAGGAAGTGGGTGGTTTGGAAGGGGCCACTGATAGGTCCCATTTCTTTACTTTCCCTCTGTTGATTGTTTCTACCTGTCTTACTTTTCCCAGCACTAAATGACCATTATTGTGTCGGTGTGCTTCTCTTTTCTCAAACAAACAAACAATAATTTCTTGTTTGAAGCTGCAAGTATCATTACCCTCTGAGCTTTTGGGTTGTCCCATTGTCTAGATATTTGAAGGTTTCTCTCAGTCCTTCATAGATCCAAAAGTTTTGTCCAAGGGCAAGGCAGTGCCCTTCAGTAGTTCTGGATATAAGGGGAAAGGGTGAGATTTGTGAGGAGGTTGTGTCTCTGTTTTTGAATTTTAGTTTTAGTTGGAAGGATTCTTCTGTTCTGATTTTATCATTGTGTAGGTGGGCGCATGTTTGTGGGGGTTTTGTTTTGTTAAAACTACTTCCTTCTTACCGAAGACATGACTGAAAAATGGTTTGAAAATGTATTTTTTGATACTCGCTCTACTCTTAGCAGTACTTACTGTAGATGTATTCTCTCATGCTGTCACATCTCATGTTCTTTTGTGGGGTGGGTGGTTGAAGGACGTCTCTGGTAGGTTCATTCAACTTCTTTACTTTCCCTCTAATGTTTCTGTCTGTCTTACTTTTCCCCAGCACTAAATAACTATTATTGTGTTGATGTTCTTCTCTTTACTCAAACTAGCAAACATTGTGTTCTTTTGGGATTTGTTTAGACAATTGTTTGTTGTAGTAAGTCAACTGTGTTTTCCAAGCATATCAGCGCTTAGTTCATTGGTGCAACCTCTTAGAAAAACAGGAAAGCCAGATTTCTACTAGGTTCTGATTTTCCAGTGTTAGTCTGGAAATGCAGTTTTCTGGAAGGATTTGGATTTTGCACTGTATATAGGCTATATAAAAATAATTTTGATTGATACAAGATGTTTTGGACAGTATGATACGTTCTTTTTTTTTGACACCACACGTGTGTTTTTGTTGGAGATGTATGTAAAGTTCAGAAGTTTTTTTTTTGGTAGCCAGTTGGCGGCCCCTCTGTACTGGGGGGGGGGGGGGTTAAACTCCATACGGCTATCTTTCAATTTTCTTTGTAGCATGTTTTATTTTTATTTTAATTGAATATTTGAGAGGAAAAGTGAATATATTGATCTCATGAGTAAATTATGTGCTTGTTCTGCTTAGTACAAGTGATGTTGCCAGAGGCCTCAGAATGGCCTGCAATTACTGCAATAATAGATAGTTTTGCTCACGTACAAAAGGTTGGAGTAGCACGTCAACAAGATTTAAGACGTGTCCTTGTCATTGAAGGATCCGTCGTATCAGCCAAGTGCCACGTGTTTTGTCTTGGAAAGTGAAAGGAACTATATGTGAAGGGTGCTGACAAAATCAGTTACTTCTCGGATTCGAGTCCAATGGAAATCGCTACATCATGCTTTTAGGTGAAGTTTTTACAATTTATAAGCACGAAATAATATAAGGCATGTTTTACTTAAAGAATATAGACATCAATGGAAAGTCTACAAATTTGACACTAGTGTCGGTTTTTGGCAAATATCTCCATTAGTGGATTGCGAGAAGTAACTCATTTTGTCAACACGTCACACATATTATCTGTGAGGATGGGTGAAACCGCTGTACCGTCACTTTCTCGATGTTTGTGACACATCAATGCGACTAGAACTGGTGTTTTCTTACGTAAATAGAGCGTATGAGTTTGAGAGGGGGATTGATGGGTGTTCTGACGTAGATGCGCACATTATGTGGTCATTATGTGGTCTTAACGGTAGTTCCTCATGTCCTCGCTGATTCTTCAAGGTTGCCCGAGTGGAGGTTTCCACCTGCCATGTAAAACTGTAGGACGCTCGAACCTGTCATGAAACTACACCTGTTACATGATACGAGAATCGAGCTTTCATTGAAAACTTATTCTGTTTCTGGTCTGAATTTGTCGCATATATCATTATGATGATAGCAACTGCAATTTTTCTTTCAAAATTTAACGAATTAATCATTGTCTTTCCTCTCATGTTCTCAAGTTTTTCTGGAGGGTTTCACTTTTAGTTTTATATTTCATATGTTGGTTGTTTTTTTTTTTGGGGGGGGGAGGAGAGATTATCCCTCACACACACTCCCATATATTTTTCATTTTTTGAGAAATGACAGACATCGAAAATGTTACAGCATTTATTGTTGGTCAGAAAAAAGATATATTGTAGAAATTGAAGCTTATGAATGATTTTGGTTCAAGCAAGTTTATGAAACCTGTAAATATTTAGATTTCTATGGATGACATTTTTATTGTACCTGTCGCGAGTTTGTTGTCGTCATCCCAATCAAAGACCTGTGTCCACTGACAGATTTTGGAATGATTTTTGTTCTTTTGTTTTGTTTTACTTATTGTGTGTTTACATTTGCGCTTTTGTTGATTTGAATTGGAGTTTTCACGGGTAGTGTTTGATTAATTAAGCAGAGATGAGGATTTATAATTTCTTTGTAGGTAATCGTTTTTTTGGTGCGGTAGAACTTTGGCGTAGGTAATTAGGTTGGTTGTGTCTGTTTTATTCTGCTTTTCTCCAGAAAATATCTACTTTTTTGTGTTTGTGTGCCTGAGAGTAAGAGACCCTTACTTGAAATTGAGAAATCGTTGTAATGAGGGTTAGAATTGCTGAGGGCTTGTTTTTTGTGTGTTTTTTTTAGTTGTTTTTTCAAACAGAAATATTTGTATTACCATACTTACTCAGTTGAGCTGTGCCCGCTTGGTTTTGCTATTCAACATTCAACATTCGCTGGCCTTGTGGTTTGGCTTTCAGACTGGTAATTGTGAGGTTGGGGGTTCGAGCTGTGGGTCCGACGTTGTGTTCTTGAGAAAAGCGCTTTACACGAATTTTCCTCACT